AAATCGCAAAATTAGGTTATTTGACAGGTGCACTTGGAAATCATATTTTATATATTACTGCACATCTTTAAATAATTATATCAATTGATAATGATAAATTTATTCATTCTTAGTAAATTCCAATAATTTTTTTTTATTTTTATGGTAAATTCTATGTTTTTTTGCATATTTTCTAATGGCTAAAAAATTGACACTTTTTAGCACCTCATATACTTTAAATTCATATTTTACAATAAATATTTAAATTTTTAATAAAATTCTTTTCATTTCGTGATCTTGATAACTTCAAAATCATTCCTGCAAAGTATTATAATTTTTAAAAATTAGTCAGCGACCACTTTAGTTGAAATATAATGGTTTGACCCTATAACTTTTTAAAAAATTAACTATAATAATCTTTGAATTCATTCCTTCATTCATTCATTCATTCCGTCCGGACCCCTGCTGGGTTTTCGGTGACAGAGAAAAGAACAATTTATGGAGAGAGAAAGATATATCTTTATTTTGCAAATGAGGGTTCCGCTTGACCTGCAATCTTTTAAAGAGGATTAATTAATAACTCTGAGGACCCAGGTAATAATTTCTTTCTCCCTTTATCACGTGAAAAAACTATAAAGAAAGTCTAAAACTGAATAGGTAACGCATACCTTTCTTTTTTACACCAAGGAATATAACATAAGTACTTCTTCGTTTAACATTGCGTTTCTCTATCTAGACAATTCAAAATGGCATAAGATCACTTTTTTTCAATTTTATATATTTTTGTCCACTTTTTGGTATTACCATAAAGTTTGAACTCTTTTCCACATAATGCATATATTCTATTTAAATTATATTGTGATTAAATAGAAAAATTTCAAGTTTTTGGAACTTGATACATTTTTCTTGTTTTCAAGGTTTGTGTTAAACAGTGGGACACCTATTATTAAATAATGAATATTTGTTTCAATAATAATATTCTGCTTCATACTTTATAAATATATATGTTTTGCATTAAATAACGTTAACAAATGTTGCAAAACACTTATATTTTAATAATATTTTACATTTTTATAATACGATGTCAAGTTTCATATAAACAATTGTTATTATTTTTTTTTACGTTTACAGTACTGCTGATCATACGTCATAATTTGGTCATAACATAAAAACAATTTGGAGGAAAATTTGAATAGTCGTTCTCTTATCAAGTGTTATTTTTCAAATGTTGCCGAACAATAATTGTAATAATTATAAATTTTAAATTTTTTAATGTTTTTTAGCATAAAAAAATCACATTTTTAGTCGCTGTGTAAGTATAAATGCGCATGCGTATAGATAGTGTGTTGTCATAAACATGGTTTACATTTAAATTTTGGTCGAGTTTCTTTAGTAGTTTTTCAGAAAATTAAAGTGACCTACTGTTTAAACTGTCCCACTGTTTATCACTCTCCCCTACCTGTATTAGAGCCCCAGAAAATTTTAATAAAAAAATTTAAAAATTATTACCTGGCCCCTCAGAATTAATCTTCATTAACAAAGGCTCTATTGTCCAAGGATTGCTATTGTTTGTGGTAATTGTTCTGAGAGTCTAATACTGGTATATACATATTTTTTTTATTTTGAAAACAGAAAGAAAGAAGAGTAAGATTTTTAGGCGAAGATATTCTTATGTTATTTTGAATCCTCTAGATAGAGAAATGCAATATTAAATGAAAATTATATGTTATATTCCTTGATGTGAGAAAGAAAGATATACATTACCTCTTCAGTTTTTGACTTTTATCTTTATATTTCCTTGTGATAATACACGGAAAAAATTTCGAGACGTCGGACGTGCCGATGTCAATGTAAACCTACTGTACATTTCATTATGTACTCAGAGTTAATCTTCATTAACAAAGGTTCTGTTGGCCAAGGGTTGGTACATCTTTATTTTTCTATATAATAAATGTGAAAAAAGAAATTATTACCTGGGTCCTCAGAGTTAATCCCCATTAACAAAGGTTCTATTGTCCAATGGTTGGTTTTTTGTGGTATTTGTTCCGGGGTTTTAATACAGGTATAAATACGTATATATGTTATTTGTAATGAACTACTGATTACTCATATAAGAGTGTCCTCTTTGCACTTATTGGCTGATCAGTAGTTACTGATTCATAGTTACTCATAGTTCTCTCATTCTTTTGAATATTTGGTAGTTTTATTGGATAAAAGGCAAAATTGGTTATATTGGATTAAAGTAAAAATTGGTTATATTGGATTAAAGGAAAAATTGGTTATATTTAGTAAAAGGTAAAATTAATTGTATTGAATTAAAGGAAAAATTGCTTATTTTTAATAAAAGGTAAAATTGGTTGTATTGAATTAAAGACAAAATTGGTTATATTAGAGAGAGTGAGCAAAAGGGTTAAAGATATTTAGATTTTCATCAATCAAAAATAAAATTAAACGAAGTATACTATGGCCAACATAAAAGAGTATGTTATTTTAAGTGATAAAGATTTAAAAATTATTGAAAATAGAAATAAATTGTTAAATTACATGCATATGTACAAATTTGAAGAATTATTAAGAAAAGATTCCAATTCATTTTTCAATGTGCAAAGTACTTTGCATGTACAAATGCTTGATTTTATTGTCCCAATTAGAGAAGGTGATAAACATATTCAAATACTTTTTAGCGGTAATAACAATTATGGTCACTGAATTTATGTTTATTACGATAGAGTAAGGCTTTATATTTTTGATAGCCTTAATGAGGGGTGTTTAAATGTGCATCAAATAAAATGTTTAATTAGATTGTTCCCTTTTAAACCAACAGTAGTTTTTGAAGCTGTTAATCAACAACTTTTTGGTAGTGTTTAGTGTGGAGTATATGCAATAGCATTTGCAACATCTGTATTATTTAACGTAATGCCAAACCGTGTAAATTATGAAACTGATAATAACAAAATGAGAAACCATTTTAAGTCAATGTTTGAAAATAATCGCTTAAATCATTTTCTGGCAGTAAGAACGTCTCACAATAGGAATTCGATAATAGAGAATAATTAGAACCGTCTTTTCATAAATTGAACTTAGGAACATAAATATTATATTTTAAACTCTTGTTCTGTTTTTAATACTTTGCACAGTAATAATATTAACAGAGTTCTATTAACACAATATTTAAAAATTAAACATTCTCTAAATGACACTAGTGAAAAGAAAATAATTCGTACAACTGATAATAATGTGAACAAAATTTCACCACATGAATATTTAAAAATGAAGAATTTTCTGAGTAAAGAAAATGATAAAAAGATAATTCGACCAATTAAAGAGAAGGGAAGAAAAAGGAAGGCAAGGCGCGAAGTTACATATGAGCAGAAAATAATAAGACAAGAGAATGAGAGATTGAGAAAACGTAATCGTAATAAAACAGAAATAAAAAAGAAAGAGCGCAAAAAAAATTTGACATGCAAAAAAAAAGAAATTATCTATAAAAACTGAAGATGAAAAGAAAATACGCAAGGATAAAAATTTGGCATGTAGGAAAAGCAAAATATCAATGGAAACTCAAGATGAAAAGAAAGTGCGTCAAGAAAATAATTTGTCATGTAAGAAGAAAAAATTTTCTACGGAAACGGAAGATGAAAAGAAAGTGCGTCAAGAAAAGAATTTGGCATGTAAAAACGATAATTGGAATAAAAAAACTGCAGGAGTTGCAATAATGTCTTTTAAAGATTTCAATGAAAGTAAAGTTCCACAGAATTATTTAGGTTTAATAAATGTAGAATGTAAGTTTTGTAATGCGTTACATTTTTTGTGTGAAAGGCCGTCACATAGATCATATAGATACATCACCGAGGAATGTCCCCGTGAAGAGGACATTATGATATCGCCTGAATGTCACAAAAATATTGCCGCTTGATATCAGCTTGACATTCGAGCAATATTCCTTGCTACTTGGGTGGTAGATCCAATATAAAGAAATTTTTTTTACATTTCTAATATTAAATTTTTTTGAAAAAAAATGAATAAAAAATATGGTTAATGCACACTAGTAACGTAGTCGGCCGCTTGCGGACGACAAAGTTGCTAGTTCTTAAATAAAAGATCAAAAAATTTAGTTAAATTTGTATTTTGCCATCATAATTTTTTAACAAAAATATAATTTTTTAGACATAAAAATAAGAAAAATTTACATTAAAACTTATTTAACAATTACATTTTTTTAACAAAATTCTTTTTTTTTTTTTAAAAAAAGTTGCAGATTTTTTATTTCATATTCACAATTCTTTAATGAAATTGTTTTTTAATACAAGTTATAAAAAAATTAATCATTTATTTATACTAATGCTAATAATCACTAATTTTAAGTAATAGGATAGCTGGAAATTTGTGCTCCCTGCATGCTGCTGCCATCTAACGGCGTCTGCAACTAATATAGTTCTTGTCACTTTTAAGAAAACTGTTATTTTTTAATTAAATTGCAATTATTATGAAATGTGATTGTTAAATAATAAAATAATTTAATAAAATTTGCAATTTCTATTAAATATAATTTATTTTTTCACACATTTTACACTAATTTCTGAAAATATTATGAAAACTGACAACGAGTTAAAATCTACAGTTACCACTTGCACATATCAAGTAATTATTTATTATTTATCACGTTAATAATTAAAATTCTTACAAAAATTAACTCTATGAATGTTCATTTAACCTCACAATACTAATTTTTATAAATTTTCATCAATTTAAAGCTTTTTTTTGATAATTACCTAAATTCGACTTAGATTCGACTTAGATTCGACCCAGCTGGGTCGATTTTAGGTAAATCGAATCCGCCAGGGCACAACAGAAATATTAAAGCGGAGACCAGTGATTCAGAAAACACAGAAAAAAAGAATTATATTTTTAAACAAAAATTTAATCCTTCGATTGCAGTAAAATGTGGAGATAATGGCAATAATTTTCTTATTACTTTATTTATTATTATTTATTTCTTATTTAATAAAATACATTTACAGATCCTAATGAAGAAGTGGTTAACTCTACATTATAAACAAATCAATTGGCAAGACTGTTCCGATTATTCCTGTGAGTGCTACAGATGACTCGACATTAACGAATTGTAAATCAAATGCTCAACAGCAAGTAATTCCTGGTAGCGACACGGAATCTAACAGCGGGAAAACTAAAACACAGAAAAGATCATATGCAACTGCATTTTCGACTCTAGACCAAAATTTAGGAGAACGTAAGTTGATATATATCATATGCGTTAGGCTCAAAGATTTTTTCAGGGTTACCGCAAGTCGGGGGAATCAGGGAATTTGCGTAAGAGAAAATTAAATTGGTCAGAAAAATAATATTTTTAAATCGAATTAATTTTATTTTAAACTAAAATTCTTAATAATTTAAATCGCTGTGAAGAAATTGATAATTATTATATATTCATTTCAAAAATTATTCAAATTTCAAGTAATTCTATTCATAAATCTGAAAAAATTGAGATTCTAAGAAATTTCCATTTATTTGTTAAAATTAAGAAAAAAATTACCAAATTAATTGAAATTTTATTACAATTTATTAAAAAATTATCAAATTAATTGATATATTGTTATTAATTTTATAACTGTTAATAAATTGAATAGGGTTTTACAGAAAGTAACAATAACATGTAAAAAGCAGCACTAAAGGTTCTAAATTATATGTAAAATATTTTAAATACGAATTAGTTGCAATTATAATTTTTTATAATTAGACAATTTTGAAAAGATTCAATTTCACACTTTAATACTTGATTTTTCAACTAAATTTATTTCGAAATATTTTTATTACTAAGGTATTTGGAAAGTTTTTCATTTTCTCTGTATGGGAAACGTTCTTAATAGTTGATATTGCAATTTTTATTATCATTATGGATTGAGAGAAATCAGGACAATTAGAAAAATTAAAATTTGTAGGGAAAACTCAAGGGAATGGTATTAATTTATTCGTTCAACCATTGTTATCAGTAGGTAGTCAGTTAGCTAAATTTTATCAGTTGTAAAGAAAGCATAATATATTTCTATGAATGTAACGAAAATGTTTTTATCACAAAATAGATACAGAAAGTTTTATAAATAAAAAAAAACTCATTTTCACAAATTTTCATATAAATATAATAAATATAACAAAGTAAATAAACAAACTGGAGGACCTTAAAAATAAACTTTCTTACTTTCAGTAACCCCATATGAAGATGTCATATTAAATAAACTAAATAGAATAGGAACGACAACAGAACTTATGAGTCGCCAATTACAAAATATACCTCAAATTAACGCCAACGGTTTTCCAATTCATTCATTTTCTCATAAAGATAAGGACTTGCAAATATTTCCAATTGACGACGAAGAAACTTTCAAAAAAGTCGATAGAAAACTTGCTCCAGAAACAGAGTATTTCACAAAAGTGGTAGGTATAATATATTTTTTATTTAAAAAATGTTGTCTAATGTCAGAATTCTCATTAAGAATTATTTTTAACAATAATATTTGCAATATGCGATATGATTCTAAAGTATAATTTTGTATTTAATTGTTTGCCAGTTTTATTTATAAAAACTAGTCAATTTTGTAAGCATTAACAAAAAGTAACATTTATCTTTTTAAAAATTTAAGCCAATTAAATTTATTTTATTCTGTACATGTTTGTACCTTTTCAATGTGTTATCTAAAATTAGAGAGGTTGTTACAATGATCACAAAAAAACTTTTAAATTATAAATTCATTTTTAAAATTAAGAATATTGTTTATAAATGTTATGTATAAAAAAACAAACCTTTGGAATGCAAAGCTAAATAAAAGCATAAAAAATCTTTAACAGCGTAATTGACAAAAGTGTATTAAAATTTCATTTTAAGTACTTGAAATATAAATATATTTTGAATTTGCCATTATTACCACTAATAAAGTTCTTAACTTTTTGCAGTTCACTGCCTTAAAAGCTGTTGGAAAATATTCAAATTCCAGTCTAACTGTCAATGCTGTAATGAAGGAAATTTTTACTCTGAACATGGGCGATAAATTTTGCTTAACCGGCAAAAATAAAAATAAGTTCGTTTTTAGAGACACGATTATATACAAAGTTGTTTCACGTAAGTAGTATTTCAATTATTTTATTTTGTAATTTAAAATTTTAAGAAATTTCAAATTAAATCATTTTTCTAAATTTCGATTAATAAAGATTTTTTCAGGCCTCGGATAACGTGACTGTTTTCGACATATTTTCGAAAACTGATACATTTTGATTTCTATATTATATAACTACCGTATATACGATTTATAAGTATAGTCAAATCATTCAAAAATTATTTTCGTATGATTTTCTTTAGATAATTAAATTTTTTAAATAACTATATGTATATACTTAATTCAAAAATTTTAAAATAATTTAAATTTCGTAAAATTTTAATAAAAATAACAGATTTCTTCAGTGTTTCAATTAAATTTTTGAAATATATAATTGGAAAAATTTTGATTAATTTGAATTTTCTAAAATTGAAATGAATATATATTCCCTCACAACAAAAGGATATTCAGGATATCCTTGGGACGTCCTGGGGATATCGATTTGTTTTCGGCGGTTTGGATTTCCCTGGGATATCTTAGAGATGTCCATGGATATCCAGAGGATATCTTAGGGATATCCGAATCGCCAAAAGCAAATGGATATCCCCAGGACGTCCCAGGGATATCCTGAATATCCTTGTGTTGTGAGGGTTACAAGTATTTCATTAAAATTTATAAAAAACAAGTTTTGGAAATTTTCAATTGCAAATTTTGAAAATTAGTTTCATAAAATTGTTTTAGAATATTTTTTTGAAAAAGTAATTCCTTGAATCCTCTCATTATTTTTTTTTTAAATTTAATTAAAATTTCTTAGAATTTTTCCAAATTTTTAAAATGATTTTTCAAAAATGGATATGCTTTCAAATTGTCAAAAAATTCTTTTAATGAATACAATTATTTTCCATAATTTACAATGCAATATTTCTAAAATACTCATTCTCAGACCTATTTTATTATATTTTTTCAAGATTCAATTATTTTCAAACAAAGTAAATTGAATTTCTTTCAAAATTTACAGTTTTAGATTCATCATTAAAATGTTAAAGAAATCATATACTTTTACATTTGTGATTAAAATTATTATGCAAAAAGATAATTATATTTTTTATATTTTACAAAAAGTAAATTATTTTTACAAGATTTTACTATCTTTCTATTATTTGGAAATTTTTATATTAAAATATAATTAAAAAATCTATTATCTTCAAAAAATTATTTTTAAATATTTTTAAAAAAATAATTTTAAGAATTCTTGTAAAATAAATTATTTTAATATTTTTGGTTAGAAATGTTCAATAATTTACCTTAATAACTTCTCAAAAAAGAAATAATTAAAAAAAAAAACATTTAGTTACAATTATTCTAAAAAATTGAATTTTTAAAGATTTTTCAGAAAATTATCAAAAGTAATTTATTTAAAGAAGAAATTTTTTTAAATATTGTAGAAAATAATTAAATTCTGGTTGAGTTACTGTTGTAATTTTTAAAGCTAATCAAATTTCAGTAGGTTTGGAAAGGAATATTAAATTAAAATGTATTTAAGAAAATTAGTGAAGATTCGAATAATTGAATTTAGAAATCAGTGAATGATCAGAGAAATATTTATAATGAAGGTTTTGACAATACTGAATAAAATAAACGACTTTTCGACTCTTTTGTATCTTTAAACGACTAAAGCGATTATTTTTGTGCCTTAAAGTCGATCCGAGGCCTATTTTTTATAAAATTGAGACAATAAATGTGTTTTAGAGTATTTTTAATTGAAAAAGTATTTTAAAAAATTGAAAACAAAATAAAATTTGTGTGAAAACCCTGTGAAAGTGCTAATACAAAAAATGTAGTAAATAATAATTAAATTTATTAGAAATTTGAGTTAATAAAAATTTAAAAGTTAATTGCCAAAAACGTTAAAAGAGATTATATTTTGATTTCATTACACTGCTGTATTTAATATATATAAAATAATATTATCGATCACTTGAATATGTGATTCAAACAAGAAGAATGGTTTTTTAACATATGTTTTATTTAACGAGACTCGAAGTTATAGATATCATCTTCATTATTGTTTAAAAAATGTTTCTAAATTATTTTCATTTTTAGAATCTCTCTTGCATATTTTACCAGAGGAGACAACGAAGAATAGAGATGATTTGATTGGAACATGGCTTTCAAATTGTAAAGGCCATATTTTGAGAAAAGAAAAGGAAAAGTAATTGACATATTATTAATAATAATAATAATCCTAATATTAAAACTTATCCCGTGTGGGGTTGCTGGTCCCCCATCGGGCGCCTCCCTAGGTGGTGGATAAGGGAAGCCTTCTGTGAGGGGATGTTGCCAAGTGATTGTCTCAGCCCCTCACAGAAGGTGCCGGTTTATCCGGGGTGAACCAAAACCAGCAAAACACGAGTATCATGAGCGAAAGTAAAACCATGGAACACGACCTGGGGGGTAACCAGTCCCTCACTGGTTCCGACCGTCAAGCGCATGGCGTGGGGGCGGTGACCAGTGGCCCTTGGATACAGGCGGGCAACAACGCTTTGTTAGTTCCACGGATCATCGTGGAGAGAATCGATGGAGTACCCCAGACCATCGGGGGTGGAAGTTTGCAGAGAAGAGGAAGTTCTTCTAGCCTCTTGAGTGTGAGCAGTACTGTTAGTGCTGCCAGCATGATCACTTCGGAGATTGACGCGGAGGCCATCGACGAAGAACGCGACAAATGCGTGAAGTCGAGAGCTGAGGAAGCACAAATTCTCAAAAAGATGGGAGAAGAAGTCCAGAAGATGATTCGCTGTTTGGACGTTCAAAAGAACGTCAACCGCACAATAAAGGATGGGTTGAAAAACCTTGAATCCTTTGTTGCGGAGGCAAAAAAGAAGCATCTGGAAGGGGACAAGTGTGACGATAGCCTCAGAGGTTGTCTGGAAAATGCGGAGGAGAACTGTAGGATCAGGAATGAGAAGAGAGTTCGCTTGCAGGATCGCGTAATTAGACGAGCAATCGTGGCGACCAAAAAACGCGAACAAAGCCCAAGTAGTCCAGAGGATACGAAAAGGCAGGAAGAAAAGAAGAAGAAGGAGAGTACTCCTCCGGGAAAGACGGACGTGAAGGCAGAGGAAGCGCCGAAGCTGTCACGTCCTAAGTACCGAAATGCGACAAGGGGATCCACAATGGTGATCCGAGTCGCCAAAGGAAAGACGTATGCTGACGTTCTGGGTAAGCTCCGTATGGAGGTCGACCCGGACGTCAGCCACACGACGGTGGTGGGAGCGAGGCCTACCAAGAGGGACCTTCTGATTAAAATCAGAGGCGACTCCGACAAGGGGGCATTCACCGCCGATGTTGCTAAGGCGGTAGGAAGCATGGGTAAGGTGCAGTCGTCGGATCGAAGGGTTACACTGGAGATCCGCGATTTGGATTGCCTTACCCAGGAAGCAGAAGTCCAGCAAGTGCTGGAAAAGGAGCTCGGGAAGCCAGGAAGCAGGAAGGTGACGGTCCTGGGACCCAACCAGCGAGGGATGAAGCTTGCGGTTGTAGTCACCAACCAAGAAGAGGCGGACAGGCTGGAAGAATTGGGGCGCATAAAGGTGGGTTTTATGTGTTGCCCAATCAGGAAGAGAGTTATGGTCGTGAGGTGCCATCGCTGCCTCGGGTACGGCCATATAGGAAGCAGCTGTAAGGCGACGGACAGATCGGCTGCGTGCTTTAAGTGCGGAGAAGCCGGTCACAAGTTCGGAAATTGCAAAGGAAGCCCAAGTTGTTTCCTATGCAAGGAAAAGTTTGGCGACAAGGCGTCCATCAGCCACATCGCCGGAAGCGGAGCATGCGGAGTCTTCCGAACGGCCCTAGAGGAAGCGAAGAAGGCTCTCGCAAGGACCAAAAATAAACGGGTCAGTAAGTATTGGCACGTCAGGTTCGCGTAAGCGACAATACGGCGACCCCATCCACGAAGACTAAAGCCTGACGGTAGTTCCGTGGGTGGAAAACAACATCATTGGTCGCAGAAATAGGGTTCTTTTAGTGCGGTAACACCTATGGTGAGTCCCACACTACCCAACTTGTAACAGACGAGTTGGGTGTCTATAAAGGATTTTTTGACCCTGTCGTTGGAATTATACGCATAACCTTTATTTTTTATAATCGTTATGTTGATAATTACAATGATGGGGGCCCTGCAGTAAGCAAAAAAAAAAAAAAAAAATATTAAAACTTATTATTTCAGAAAACTTATTTACATATATTTTTTCTTACAGCAGAAAGTCAGCACCTGTGCGAATCCAATTATAAGTGAACAACAATTTTAAATATTTATCGAGGCAATGGAAGTTTCGTCGCCAGCTTCAAATTCTAATTATATATTTCTATTATTGTATTATTATATTATATATATATAGTCAATAGGCCCACGCCCATAACGGCGGGCAATACGCACCATATACTACTGACGGATCCAATATTGAGGACTTTTTAAATTTGGACTTTTTCAAAATTTAAAATGTAGGACAAGAAAAATTAAAAATTTCTCGGATTCGTTTGAAACTGGTTTTAAGTGAATTTAATCAATGGGTTGCAGACATTTATCTCAAAATGAAAACTGCGAAAGATTATTAGGTCGAATTCACAAGTGTCGAATTGACAAATGATCTAACCTCTATTTGCATGAATTGTAAATTGAACGAAATGTTATTGTTTCGAATATTAATATGATCAACTTTCATGCGAAAAAAATTATATTTTGATCTAGTTTATATTTTACATAATTTTAAATTTCTCTAATTTTTATTTATCCTAATCTTTATTTTATCTAATTTTCATGATGTCGAAATATGAAATCTTATAATGTTGATTTAACGTAAATGTAATTTATAATAAATGTAATTTGACATAATTATTATTTATGGTAATGATTTAATGTACGAATTAAAAAGATATCAATTTTTCAAATGTTTGAATTATATTGAAAGCGAAATATTATTTGTTGGAATTATATTTTTACATAATTTTTATTTACACTAATGGATTAATGACAGAATTAAATAATGTCAAATTTGTAATAGACTCTACTCTTAAAGTTGACGAATTTTTATTTCATCAAAATTATTATTTTCCTAATTGTCATTTAATATAATGTGTTTCTTTACGAAATACAAAGTTCTCTAATTGTTATTTATCCGATTTATAAGATAACCTAAATGTCATTTTTCATATTCCTTATTCGTTATAAATAAGATGTGTTCTAATTATTATTTATCATAATTTCTTCATTTTCGAATTGAATGGTGAATTTCGAAAAGGGCACAACTCGAAAAAGCGTAAGTGTCATTTTTGCATAACAATTGATAGTGAAAATGACTCTTAGCCTTTTTAGAGTTGAGCCCTTTTCGAAATTCACCATTCAATTTAATTCTAACCTAAGTGTTAAAAACACTAATTGTAATTTAAAGTAAATAAAATTTCGTCGAATATGTATTTTAACTAATCTTCATAGCATCAAATTATTATTTAAAATAAATTTTACTTGATCGAATTTCAATAACTTATAATTTACATTACATCTAATTTTTATTTAATCGAATTATCGCGCCACATAATTGTCACGTATCCGAATCGTTTATCGTCGAATTATAAAAGTGCGATAATTTGTAGCTCATTGAGTTTCCTATCTATTACATTTATATTTAATATTAGTATAGCCGATAATGTAGATTTAGATGGCGCTTTAGTCATTTTCTTATCTCTAGTTTTCTTGAGCGTCAGTTTTAAATATCGTTTTAAAAAATTTTTCATTTGAAGGCTATTAATTTAAAAAAACTGTTTATAATAACGATGATTTTATAACATTTATAAAGCGTCATATAGTAATTAAATTAATATACATATAAAGTGTAAAATATAAAATATGCTATATATATATAAAGTGTAAACAGTGTGAGTTAGTATTTTCCTCTATAACCCATCCATAATGTGCTGTTATCTGATGGCCATTTTTGATATTCAAATTTTTTTTTTTGAAAATTAAATAATTTCAAATATAGGTATGTACTTTTGGTTTTTAAAAAATTCAGTTTTTTTTATTTAAGGCATTTTGTTTTTCATTAAATTTTATCATATAATTTGGAGAATTTAAAGATTTTTGTAATTTGTTCTAGCAAAGAAAGTAATTAAAATTATAAATAATCTTGGTTAAGTTCAGGTGCTTTTTTAAATTGAAATTTCTTTGTCAACAAATTTTTTTTCTTAAATTCAACAATGACAGTTCGTTTAGTAAAGTTTTAATATGTTATGTTATATCTAAATAATGATAAAATTTGAATTTTTATTAATATTAAATATTTTTTCCTTCCATTATTTTGATATTAGTAATTAAATTTTTTCGATTATTGGAAGAGAGAAATAAAACACCAAATCACTTGTTTAGCAACGTTTCGGTGTTTTGGTTTGACACCATCATCAGGCCACTTTATTAAACAAAATTAAAGTGAGTGATTAATTTATTTTAATTTTGTTTAATAAAGTGGCCTGATGATGGTGTCAAACCAAGATACCGTAATGTTGCCAAGTAAGTGATTTTGTGTTTTATTTCTCATTTCCAATATTCGAAAAAAACTCAATTTCTAATATGAGAATTTTTATTTTTGGTTATTTCTTATTCTTAATAAAAAAACAAGAGTATTATACAATTCTATAGAAAAATATATTTTAGAAATAGTTATACACACGTTATTCGTTGGTATATAATTTTTCTATTATTACAATTTGAAATAGTAAAAATTGGTAGGAATAGAAATTTTTTTATAGAATATTTGCTGTTAATTTTAAATAAACAAGAAGAGCATCGAACTCAAATGTTTAGTGTTTAATATAAATTTTTTTTATAGAACTTAATTTATAATAAATTGTATATGTTTTTGTATATGTTTGTTCATACAAAATGTAAAGTTCTCCCTCTCTTGTAGTAAAACAAAACTATTTTTTAAGATGACAACTTAATATTTTTATTGTCTTAAATATACATAAAACTATTTTAAAAGATTTAATTTAATGTTTTGAAACTTTTGAGAACAAAATATCTTTAAAAAACCTTTTTATTTATGGTTTCAAAAATTTAAACGACCACTTACACAGGCACACAAAAAAAAAGTTGTCTGTTTCTTGAACTAGACATATATTTCCTATAGTATTTTGGGCCGCTGAAACCGAATCTGAGCTCAGAATTGCTCCATCACCCTCAGTTATTTTTTAAATCGACCAAAACCACCCTTAAACGGACAAATTCACACTTCGGAGATAAAAAATAAATCAACTTATTTTTTAAAAAAACCTAATTTTACATCTACGAAACATTGCTCCACTAACTCAAAAACAAAGCCAGCATTGATCCAGCACCCCCTGAATTTTTTTAATCGAAAAAACTACCCCTAATCTGAAGAACCAAATTCAGGAGATAAAACAATAAAATAACTGATTGACAAATTTTATAACCAGATATTTTTACTTCAGCAATGCAGAAACAAAGCCAGAAATGCTCCCTCACCCTCTAAAATTTTTTGAAATCGAAAAACCACCCTTAAATAGACAAATTCAAATTTAAGAAGTAAAACCATATTATATTACCGGCTTTTTTTAAAAACAGAACCTTACATGTATGTAGTTTTGCTCTACTAACTCAAAAAAATAAAGCCAGCATTGATCCATCACCCTCTGAATTTTTTTAAATCGAAAAAACTACCCCTAATCTGAAGAATCAAATTCAGGAGATAAAACAACAAAATAACTGATTGACAAATTTTATAACCAGATATTTTTACTCCAGTAATGCAGAAACGAAGCCAGAAATGCTCCCTCACACTCTAAATTTTTTTTAAATCGAAAAAACCACCCTTAAATAGAAAAATTCAGAGTGTGATGGATCAATGCTGGCTTTTTTTGAGTTAGTAGAGAAAAACTACATACATATAAGGTTCTGTTTTTAAAGAAACCGGTAATTTAATATTTTTTACTTATTAAATTTTAATTTTTCTATTTAAGGGTGTTTCTTTCGATTTAAAAAAAATTTAGAGGGTGAGGGAGTATTTCTGGCTTTGTTTCTGCCTTGCTGGAGTAAAAATACCTAATTATAAAATTTTTTAATCAGTTATTTTATTGTTTTACCTCCTGAATTTTATTCTTCAGATTAGGGGTAGTTTTTTAAATTTAAAAAAATTCAGAGGGTGATGGATCAATGCTGGCTTTATTTTTTTGAGTTAGTAGAGCGAAACTACATACATATAAGGTTCTGTTTTTAAAAAAAGCCGGTAATATAATATGGTTTTACTTCTTAAATTTGAATTTGTCTATTTAAGGGTGGTTTTTCGATTTCAAAAAATTTTAGAGGGTGAGGGAGCATTTCTGGCTTTGTTTCTGCATTGCTGAAGTAAAAATATCTGGTTATAAAATTTGTCAATCAGTTATTTTATTGTTTTATCTCCTGAATTTGGTTCTTCAGATTAGGGGTAGTTTTTTCGATTAAAAAAATTCAGGGGGTGCTGGATCAATGCTGGCTTTGTTTTTGAGTTAGTGGAGCAATGTTTCGTAGATGTAAAATTAGGTTTTTTTAAAAAATAAGTTGATTTATTTTTTATCTCCGAAGTATGAATTTGTCCGTTTAAGGGTGGTTTTGGTCGATTTAAAAAAAACTGAGGGTGATGGAGGAATTCTGAGCTCAGGTTCAGTTTCAGCGGTCTAAAATACTATAAGAAATATATGTCTAGTTCAAGAAACAGACAACTTTTTTTTGTGTGCCTGTGTTATAAAGGGAAAAAATTGAAAAATCATTATTTAAAGTATTTTACTTTTTTTATATGTACTTCTTTTTTAAATAATGGATTAAAGAGAAACAAAGAGTCCAATTATTATGACCAAAGGAATTAAATCGGTTATTGAAAGAAGAAATTTGAGATTGTAATTTTACGCTGTATTAACCGCAACTTCTTTGTATGAACAATTGGTTCTTGAACAAATAAACATATATATATTATATTATATTATATTTTTTTTTTTGCTTAGGGACTATTGGGAAATCTGTATACAGATACCTTGGCTTCCGCATGCTAAGGTTATGTGGGGTTGGTAAAAAAAGGGAACACTAAACAAAATAAGCTGGCGAACTACTACCAGCCCCGACCCACTAAAAACCCGTCAACCCTTCTTGGGAGCCCTTTTATCCACCTTCGGTACTGTCGTGAAAACTTTTGCCTTCGAGGGTTATTAATTTTAAAATAAAACAAAATCAATGTCAAGCGGAATCAACAGCACACCAGAAAAGAAACCAATAAAAAGTAAAATAAACAAAGTCAAAAATAAAATTGTAAAAAGACAGATGAACACACAAAATATAACATAAAACTGTAAAAAGACTAAAATAAATAAACAGAAAATTGTAAAAAGACAATAAAAGACAAACTAAATAATAAAATGAACAAATAAATATAAAATGGAGACTGTCAATTTCGCCTATCGGCGGCCATCGAGATCCTTTCTCATCATAACAGAGATGATAAAGGTCTCGATGAGCCGCCAGTTTTCCAGGGACTGGATCATCAGCGCTACCATGTTCTCCGGTGTAACTGTAGCGTTTACACCGGTGAACATGGCCTGCCTCTCCAAGTCCCATCGACTGCAGGCGAAGAGGGTGTGCTCTGCGTTGTCCACAGGGAACTGGCAATAAGCACACTCCTCGCTATCTATCTTTTTAATGCGCTGCAGGTACGAATTAAAACATCCGTGACCTGTCAGCACTTGTG